ATAAGCCACTAGGCCTTCTAGTATTTTGGATTCCTGAAGAATACTATTAGTGTGTGAGACTGGAGGAGAAAGTCATTCAGAGCTATGAGGATCAGGGAAGCATTACTAGAAGAGGCAGCATTTGAGTTGGGCTCTAAAGGAAGAGTAAGAGGTCATCAAGTAAAGATTGAATGGGAGAGTGTGGATTGTTCCTGAATAGGGAACAGCCTAAACAAAAGGACTAGGACAGGGAGGTCAGTCTGTGTTCTGTGAGCAGTGGACAAAATGCCCTGAAGATTGTGTATATGAGATAAGCCTGGAAAGGTAGTCTGGTATGATACTGTGGACACCACTGGATGACATTTAGAGGAGTTTGAAGTTGCCTCTTTGGTAGGCAACAGAGAAACAGTGAAGATTTTTTAGGATGAGTAACATGGCCATACATGCATAACAAAGATGACATATATACATAAGAAATATTATGCCCATAGTGGTAGAAACAGTGGATTGGAGGTGAGTGTGAAGTAGAGACATGAAGACATGAAAAGAGGCCACTGACTTTAAACAAGTGATAATGAAGGCTTGCTCTAGACTGGCATCAATGGGCACAGAAAGGAGGTGAGTGATTGGAGAAATATTGCAGAGGTGGAAACGGTGGAACTTGGGGACTTCTTGGATATGACAGATATGAGAGAGCGAAGAGTCAATGATAAATAATTCTAGGTCTGTAAGTGTGAGAAAGTAGGTAGACTATGGTACACCAGACATAGTGATATCACAATGAGGATCAAGGGAAAGATAATGAGTTCTGTTTAGGATGGGGTGATTTTAAGATTCTGATGTTATTTCATATGGAAAGTCTTATAGGCATCTGGGGTTGCAGTTCTGAGGAAACAGCAGGACAGGAGATGTAGATTTGAGAACCATTTACAAAAACTGGTCATCAATAGGGCAACTAGGTGGCACAGTGGATAGAGCTCCAGCCTTGGAGTCAGGAGGACCTGAGTTCAAATCTGACTTCAGACACTTGACACTTCAGACACTACTAGCTGTGTGACCCTGGGCAAGTCACTTAGCCTTGGAAACAAAAAAGCAAAAAAAAAAAAAAAAGAACCAGTCATCAAAACTACTTGAATGAATGAGATTGCCAGGGGATCAAATGGAGAAGAGGGCAAAGGTCAGGCCCTTGTGGACATACATACTAAAGGATTAAGAAGAGTATCTCTATAGGTAACATTTTCAAGTAGCGGAGGAGTAAAATAAAAATATAGCTGGCTAAGTTAAAATGATTAAGGGAAGCCTCTTTTTGTTTTTTATAGTATTAGTATGATCTGCACATGTTTGTAGGCAAATAGAAAAGAGCATTAGTAAGACTGAAGTGAGACTTAAGGTGCATGAAAGAGATGTGTCCTGGAGGCAATGACTGCTGGGAAAAGATCCTGAAGGAGAGAGGAAAAAATGGGATCAAGAGCACAGGAAGAGAGATTAGGCTTAGTGAGCAGTAGTTATATCTTTTCTGTGACTACGGAGAAGGGGAGAAATTAGGGTCATGTAAGCATCAGAAGCAGAGCTAGTTCAGGGTGAGTCACCTCTGTGTTCTTAGTGAAGCAGGAGGCTGGGTCAGTAGCTGTAAGTTAGGGTCCAGAGGCATGGTTATTGGTGAGTGCAACAAAGCAACGATTTACTGTGGATAATGATATATGGAAGTGGAAGAATTTTGAGTGAGAGCCCAGTTGAGGTTAAGTACCATGAACTTGTACTGTGTGAAATCAGTTTGATCTGTATGAGTTGATCCAGTAATATGCCCTAGAGTGAAACTTCCTAACCTGGGCCTATGAATTTCTTCTTTATATTTGATAATTTTATTTCAACATAATTGGTTTACTGTGTGATCCTATGTATCTTATTTTATGCATTCAAAAACATTATTCTCAGGTGTCCATAGACTTCATCAGACTACTAGAGAGGTCCATGTCACAGAAAAATTAAGAATCCCTGCAATAAGGGTAGCAACAGAGAAACTAGATTATAAGGACTATCTACCACAGGGTGAGATTCATAGGCTGGGAATGGAAAAAGACCAAAGGGACAAGGAACATAGGGTAGTAGCCACTGAAAGATTAAAATGACAAGCCCTCAGGTTAAGGCTAGGGCAAAGCAGGGAAGATGAACATGGATTAGAGAGTTTGATGATTGAAGAGACTGAAGGTCATTATTAGTAAGAATGAGAGAGTGAAAGATGTAAAAGGATGGTAGATTATGGTTAAAATGAGAGTTCAAAATTTTGGATTTTAGAGGTCATTCAATTCTGAAAGATTTCAAGTCCTAAGATGTGGTTGCATTTATGAGAAGCTAATGTGGAGCGGAGTGGCAAAGGAGAGATGATTGGAATTGAGAAAATTGGGAAATTGTGTGGCAAGGTTGTGGGAGATGTTGTCAATACTTTAACATGAATAGTGAAGTCCTCGGTATTCATCAAGAATACGATGAATAGTTGTAGAATTAAAATCATTAACTGGTTACTAAAATCCCTGAAAAAAGTGTGCAAATAGGTCAGAGCAGGAAAGATGGGAGTGGGTAGTGTAAATGGATTACATAGACTTCAAAACAATAAACATCAAGGGATTTTATCTGAGTAATAATCGGGAGGTCATTACCGGGAGCAAGAAGTATGCTCACTCTTCCCCAATTGATAAATGGTCAAAGGATATGAATAGGCAGTTTTTCAGATGAAGAACTTAAAGCTATCTATAAACCAATGAAAAATACTCTAAATAACTATTGATTAGAGAAATGAAAATTAAAGCAACTCTGAGGTACCACCTCACACCTATCACATTGGCGAATATGACAGAAAAGGAAAATGATAAACTCTGGAGAAGATGTGGGAAAATTGGAACACTAATGCATTGTTGATGGAGTTGTGAAATGATCCAACCAGTCAAGAGAACAATTTGGTACAATGCCCAAAGGGCTATCAAACTGTGCATACTCTTTCATCCAGCAATACTGCTATTGTGTCTGTAATTTCAAAGAGATCATACAAATGGGAAAAGGACCCACATGTACACAAATATTTATAGCAGCTCTTTATGTGGTGGCAAAGAATTGGAAATTGAGGGGATGCCCATCCATTGGGGAATGACTGAACAAGTTGTAGGATATGAATGTAATGGAATACTATTGTTCTATAAGAAATGATGAGCAGGCAGATTTCAGAAAAGCCTGGAAAGGCTTACATGAACTGATGCTGGGTGAAGTGAGCAGAACCAGGAAAAAACATTCTGTACAGTAACAGCCACATTTTGTGATGATCAACTGTGTTAGTCTTAGTTTCTTAGCAATTCTTAGCAATACAATGATTCAAGACAATTCCAAAAGACGCATGATGGAAAATGCTATCCACATCCAGAGAAAGAACTATAGAATCTGGACACAGATCGAAGCATACTTTTTTCACTTTTTTGGTATTTTTTCCCTCCTTTCTTGTGGTTTTCCCCTTTTGTTCTAATTCTTGTTTCACAACATGACTCATGTGTAAATGTGTTTAACATGATTGCACAAGTATTGCACCTATCAAATTGCTTGCTATCTTGGGGAGGGGGGAGAAGACAGAGGGAGGGAGATGGGTTTGAAACTCAATTTTGTTAAGGGTGCATGTTGAAAGCTATCTTTGCATGTGGTTGGAAAAAAAATACCATTAAAAAAAAGAAATGTGCTCACTCTGTCTCCAGGTCCTTAGAATGTAGGAGTAATGGTGAGTGATCCCCATGAAGAGGATTGCAAGGGCTATGGTATACTCAGCAGAGGGCTGTTTACTTAAAGCAAGGAGGTAGAATATTGATTGAAAATTAAAGGATTAAATGAATTTTATAGGCAACAGAGCCAGGTTTCCAAAGAGCATAGTGGAATGTGCCAAAATATTATTTTTGCATTTGTACTTTGCAAAGAACTATGGAGAAGGACAGGTGAATAGAATAAGGATGGGGTATCACACATTTGTACATATGCATATAATATACATCTTCTTTCCAGTGATGGGGCTAGGAGAAAACATACTAATATTCTTTGCCTTAACATTATCCATTAAAGAACAACTTCTATCACAATTTTTCCTGAAATTCTCAGCTATGTGACATTTTTTCTCTCATTCATGACTGTGGCCATTCATATCATTCAGACTGTTTCTCTGAATGATTAGTTATTGAGATTTACCCTTTTGAGAAGCGGATACCAGCTCCTAAAGACTGTTAATTTGAGGATTCACTCCCCCTGCTGGCTTAAAAGAAGTCCCCATTTATTGACCTTCAGAATGTGGTCCAAGGCCAATTTCTTTCTGAGGTGTTTCCCCAAAATACATACAGTAAAAAGATTTTATGTATCCAGTGAAATGCATCAATAATTTACTTCTTGACCTGTAGATGTATGTTTTCATAGCATATTTTAAATGAAATAAGTCTATACACAATTTATTTTCTTCCAATTGAAACTGAAAGCCTTAGCTGAATGCTTACACAAAGCCCAGTTCTATGAGGGCAGCACAAATTTAAGAAAAAAGTGTAATTCAAATATGTATCAACAGAGTCTGTTCTAGTCTTCCAGGTTTTGCTTTATTAAAAATACCACCAGTGTTTTATTTCTAGAGAAAGCAACAGCTTGTGTATGGGAATAAGGCACAAAGTCACAACTCAGTTCAGCATCTTATCATCTTATCTTAGGAAAGCACTTTGAATTAGCAAGGTTTAGAATCCCACATGTGAAAGTCATATGTATTTAAGGTAAATGAGCTTGTTAATAACAGTTATAAGTAGAACTCGGCTATTTCTCCAGTTTTACCGTATTGTCTTTCAGAGCTTGCAAGTAAATCTATTTACAAAATAATTACTGGGCTTGCCCATATTAAACGGTAAAAGCAAGCTAGTCTCCCTGCCTCCCAGTATGCCGCAAACCCAAGTGCAATATGTTGTAATCTTCCCTCTGCAACAGGGTCAGGACGGGCTGGCGTCAGCGTGCTGGGTGAGACGTGGGAGACGAGAAGTAACTTGTCAATTTTTAATAAACTCTTCCTTCTCTCCAAGTCAACTGCACCATTCTCTCTGCAAACCAATGAGATGATGACATCTTTCTAGTTGGTTTCCATAGCATCCATTCCTGAAGAGCCCCAGGATGGTCTTTTGGAAGGATTGTCCTTCCACCTCCCCTAGAAAGTTGGCAAAGCAGCGAACTCAAAGAACCTTTTCATCCGCCCTACGTGTCCTGTCCGCGGTCCTGAAATCCGGTGGCGACGCCAGAATGGGAGGGAGCTGTCCCCAGTGCTGAAAACTCTAGTGCTCCGTCCAAAATTAGACCTGTTTGTCTCACTAAATCACGTTTTCGCTTTTCATTGATTTCTCGTTCCAAGGTGCGTCAAGTTCTCTCTCCATCTCCACTCTACGCTACCGCATATCTGAATTGCTCCCCGTGAAGGCAGCAGAAGCTTATTCGTGAAGATGGTCCCTTAGGGTTGGTACTGCCCACCTGAGAGCTAAAATCATCCATTAGTTCTTTCTCAGGCTACTCTGATTGAAGAGGACTAATATTGCTATCATCTTCGCTTTGCACTTAAAGAAGAGCTTTCTGTTTTCCTCTATTTTAAAATACTGCAGTTTTTGGAAAACACTTCAAAACCAGGATTACAAACAATTTTCAAGTGGACTAACTTCCATCAAGGACCTCTTTGTACCCGCCCAAATATCATGGTACTGCATGCTTCCTCTGCCACCGGATCCTCCCCTTCAAATAAGACTTTCTAATTGTGTCTAGCAATTCTCCTATTAGGAAAGCCGTGGGTTGCATGTTGCTGTATTCCGTTGTATTCCCTTTCTCTCCCTCCCTTTCACTCACATTCTTCTTCCCAGAGGCGCACCAATAGCCATTTCGCGGGGAAGGAAAGAGAGAGAGAGAGAGAGAGAGAGAGAGAGAGAGAGAGAGAGAGAGAGAGAGAGAGAGAGAGAGAGAGAGAGAGGAAAAAAAACACCTTAGCGATTAAGCCAATATGCGCAACCATCGCCTTTCATAGCTCAAACCTAATACACACCAGAGCCAGTGCTGCAGGGATGGAGTCGATAAAACAAAGGATTTTGACCCCTGGCAAAGAGGGGCTGAAGAATTTTGCTGGAAAATCTCTCGGCCAAATCTACAGGTAAGGGAAAACGACTCCCGTGTTCACTGGGGCTTCTTCCTGGAGAAACTGTCAGACAGGTTTCAGTTAACTGAAACCGTTTCGAGGGCTTGTAATTTGATCGGTAACGTTTGTTTGGTTAAACATTGGGGCTTACCCAAGGTTGGCAAAAGAATGTGGCATGGAAGCAATCTGTCTGGGGTGTGTGTGTGTGAGTGAGTGAATGTGTGTGTGTGTGTGTGTGTGTGTGTGTGTGTGTGTGTTTTACCATCTGTATGGGATGATTAGTGGCAGATACTTTCCACTACAGAATTCATCTCCTTTATGAAGAGGAAAGAATCCACACCCTATCAATGGGCTTTCCCTATGCTCTAATCGTTTGCTTGGGAAAAGCTCGAGTTAGATACCTTCAATGCAAAAAGCATTAAGCCCATTCGCTTAATAATCCCCCAGGAGATCTTCCTTCTGGATTAAAAAAAAAACCAACACTAAATATATATATAAATAATTGATAGGGGGCCAATTTCTGGGTTTGAGACTGAAACAATTATGTATTTTTAAATTATTTATTCGTCCTATCACAGACATAAGTGTCTGGTATGGGGATGCTGAAAGGGTGTGCATTATGAAAAGAATAATCCTTTTGAGTGCACTGGATGGATAGAAACGATTTTCAAACCAACCCTCACTATAGTAACCTGGCCAATGATTCCTATTACAGCAGGTAACTCCAGCTGCCTCCTGAGAGATCGTTCCGTGTTCTTTTCTTTCTTTTCTTTTTTTTTTTAAAAGGTTGTCCCTTTTACTGGAGTATTCTTCAAAAGAAAGCAGATCATCCCCCAAGGAGATAAGGCAGACAACAAGAGAAAGAAAGTGGACTTTAGGGTAGCATTTTTTACAAAGGAATACATTTTAGGGAATAAATAGGAAGTTTTGAGAAAAGGTGAGGCGGGTAGCTCAAATATTTCCAGCTCTTTCAGGTCCGGGTTGGCTTCACTTCTGGTCAGGACAGTATCTATCTATGCTGCAACATTCCGCATTCCCCACTGCAATCCTACAATATCACTGAGAACTACTCATTCAATCACCTTCTATCAGGTACTGAATCCTCCCAAGGAGACCTTTTCCTCCAAGAGTGGAGGTTAGATTTGGAAGATTTCCTTTTCTAAGGGAAAACTTGAATGGGGGGGTGATATATAAAACATATTTATTTTGAATCTCATTACTTGAATCTTCATTTCCTCTTCTCTCCCAAAATTGTGGCTTTTAAAAAATTCTTATATTGGGTTAAAAAACTTAGGGTTAAGGATAATTTAAAATATTAAACTATAAATACTATCATGAGTTTATTTCCAGGATGGTAAGGAATGTATTATGTTTTCAGGTATTGTGAAGAGCTTGAAAATCATATTCCAAACATTGCATTCTTTGAACCGATTTGATAATAGCATTCATGTAATCACTTACATTTAAACAACCATGCATGTGTATATGTGAGTATAGATATATATGTCCATATACATATATACACTGTATGTATATGTAATACATAAGTATATGAAAATGGTTGAACTGATAAAAATTAAAATTTCTCCTGCTTATTTCAACTCAAAAATACTATGTTTAAGGAAAGGTTTTCTTTAAATATTTGAAACTATTGCATCCTAACATTATTGGAAGATACTCCCTTTAAAGAGGGAGGGAGTGTCTTTGTCTAAAAAGAAATCTCATAGATTAAACTCTTCGAAGAAAACGGTTATTACTTGAATGTAGGAAAGCACTTTAGCCCTTTGAGACAAATTCATTGATGGGATTCATTCCTAAAGGTTTGGAATTTTAAAATATTGATGACAGTGGCATTTCCAAAGTGGTGCAGGATCTGCATTGAATGCGGAAATGCCTTATGCACGACCGATTTTCTTTTTATGTGTATAGAATTGCATTTGAATGTCTAGAAAAGGCCCCAACACATTTTTTTTTCGTGTGTAATTGGAAATGTGAATAATTCATTACAAATATATGGGAGGTAGGTAGTTTGGTTTTTGTATTTTGTCTACATATTTGGGTGGCTTTCTCTTCCTCCCTCCCCCCACCGCCTTCCCGCCATCTTAAGAAAAGAAAAGACATATATAGGATGACAGCCGGGCCAAAATCAAGGATTTGAATTCACATGGCGGGGCTGATTCGAAGGAGAAAAGCTGAACAGAGCCTGCGGCAGGTGTGACACACAAACCCCTGCATTGTCCTTCCCCCTTATAAATCCAGATTGAGGAAGATCTCGGCCCAGAACACTTTTGCTACTAGGAGCGTGGGCGTGGCTACGTCACCTCACGCCCAGAAAACCCGCATCCCTTTGGGAAAGGTCGAAGCCCGGTAGGGAAATCAGAGGGACCTGTTGCTCTTGCAGGCTAGCAGAGATTTGAGCTCCTGGGTGGAAGGAAGGCAGGTAATTGGTACTGAGAGCAGTTAACAGAGAAGATTCAGGGTATAGACGCTGCCGGAGAGGGAGAAGGAATACAATTGGAGTGTTTCAAAATAGGCACCACAGAGATGTTAGCCCCATTGTCTCGGTTTCTCTCCTAAGATCAAGCCACTCCTGTATAGAACATACCGAGGAAATCACTCAGGAATTGGGGGTGGGGTGGGGTTCAGGGGTTAGGGAGGATTCAGAGCAGCGGACATACTGTGTATTTGACAGAAAGGAGCAGCAGAAGTAACTGGAGGCTGGGTGGGGTGGAACGTCCTTCTTTGGGGAGGAAAGGTATTAAAGTCGAAAGCTAATTGAATTCTATTCAGTTCGATTCTATTCCACCAGCACTGTTTAATGCTGGTGCAAGGCAAGGAGCTTGCTAAACTCTGGAGACACAAAGCTAAAAACAAAGCAATTTCTCCTCTTGGAGCGTTTACCTTCTATTGGCATTTTAAACTGGAAGAAAGGAAAGGAATTTGATTAAAAATATTAGCTAGAGGGGAGAATGGATTCCCATGTCAAGTCACCCATACTCCCCCTCCCCCTCAGCTTCAAAAATCATTCCCATGGACCTCATAACTTGGGGTGCGAGAACGGTTTTTAAAACTTTTTTTAGTATTTAGTATTTTGATAACTATTTCAATATGAATGCTTTCCCTTGTAACCTTAAAGATTTTTAATTTATGCTTTTAAAAACATTCTTCTGAGAAGAGGTCAATAGGCTTCACCAAGGGGGTCCACGACAAAAACGAAAAACGACGATCAAAAACAAGGTTAAGAAGTTCTGATTTTAGACAGACCATATCCTTACTCCCCAGAGAGTTTATAAACGAAAGCACCCCTCCCTAATTCCACCCCGGAGAGGGCGCTAAGTGAACACAACCAGGAGCGCATCAAAGCTCCTCAATCTTAAACCCTGCTCCGGGGTCATCGCAACTAGACACTGTCCCTAAAGCCTTCTGTTTTCCCTTTCTCCCTTCCCCTTCCCCCTCCCCCATCCCGCTCGCTGTCCTCCCCACTACACTCCAGGGTGCTCGAGAAGAAGCAGAAGACTGGGGAGACTATTGAGCTGACCGAGGATGGGAAGCCCTTGGAGGTGCAGGAGAAGAAGGCGCCACTCTGCGACTGTACCTGCTTCGGCCTGCCACGCCGATATATCATAGCTATCATGAGTGGCCTGGGCTTCTGCATTTCCTTCGGGATCCGCTGCAACCTGGGGGTCGCCATCGTGGACATGGTGAACAACAGTACCATACACCGAGGGGGGAAGATCATCAAGGAGGTGGGCGACTGTGGGGACTCGGATCCCCTCTTCTCTCCACCTTTTCTTACTTCACCAGGGGCCCCACTCCACCCTCAACTCATGGTTATAAGATCATCAGTTTAGAAGTGTAAGGGATCTTGGAGTCCATCTAGTCCAAACCCACATTTTGTTGATGATAAAATTGGGGCCCAAAGAGTGAGTTCCCCCAAGACCACACAGGTCTTAAGCAACAGAGATGGGATTTGAATCTCTGTCCTGACTCCCAGTCTAAGGGTTTTTTTTTCAGCCACTTAAAAAAAGTACAAAATTGTTCTCATTTTTTATACTCACACATGAAAATAGATCACATATAATATTATGGGATGTCAATGAGAACAGACCCGTGATTTTGGTACAGGGAACTCTCAGGGAGGAATTTCCTCTACCAAAACAGATGGGTACCTTCTCTGTGATTTATAGTCTTAGAAACTTGCTTGGCACTAAGTGACTTATTCAGGTTCACCCAGCCAGTATAGGTTTTAGAGTTGGGACTTGCACCCATATCTTTCTGTCTCTGAGGTCTGCTATCCAACCACAAACATCCTACTGCTTAAAATATTACATAATAAAAATGATAACTCCAATATATTTTTCTTAGCTCTCATCACTGTAATTTTGAGGACCTTTTTCCAAGACCATTGACAGTCACTCCTATTCCAGCCCTACTAGGAATCCCTAGCACAGAAAGACTCTCCACCTTAAAAAGAGAGGACTCCAGCAGAGCTGTAGCTTTTCCACTACTTCTAGGTGTCTTGGAGGGAATCTGAGGTAAATTAGAATTTAAGCAGAAGAACTAGAGGAGCCAGACCACAGATCAATCAATCCCCGAGCATTTACGGAGCTCCCTCCACGTGCCAGGTATCATGCTACCTTTTCAGAACCCAAAGACAAAAATGATAGAGACTTTGCCCTCAAGAAGTTTACAATGAAGGGGCACATGTACATATATACACATATGTAGGTATAAACAAAATATATGAAACAAGTAACCTTGGAGACAGCATGTGACTAGAGGAATTTACAATTGATGTTTCCTTTCCAGAAAATACACCAGCTCTCCCAAGTACGGCGTTTTCACCCCCATCTCGCCTTCCAGCAACCTTAGGTCCATTAGTCTAGGATTGAGAGAGAGTTCCCAGAGCATATTTTGTTTGTTTGTTTGTTTGTTTTGGTTTGTTTTGGCTTTCCCGGGTTGAATGCAGGCTCCCCTGGCTCTTTGTGTGAAAGCTTGGCTCTCAACTTTGACCTTTGTACAACAGTTTCATTTATCTTCATTCTTTCTAACTAGTATCCAGCTTCCTTAGTAATAAAAACTGCTCCCCTTTGGGATCCTCAAATCTCCGTGTATCCCCTGTGCCCTGCCCTCCCCCAACTGATCTGAGTTTCAACTCCTCTACATCATCTCTGTTACCGCAGCTTTAGCCGCAGTTCCTGATCTTCGGATCCTTCTTATATCTTATATCAGCCTGACCTCACCCTCAATTCAATTCACCCTAATTCAGCAAATATTTATTATTCGCTTGGGATGTAAAGGTAAAAATCCTTCCCCTATTCTATATTCTAGGTTTCCTTCCCTTGGGACTCTCTCTTTCCCCCGGTACGATGTACAGATGGTAGGGAATCTAGCACTTCTCTGCACCCCTATTCCCGGAAACCTGCGCTTAGGGTTTCTAGCTTGCAGACAGCCAGACCTTCAGAGAGGAACAAAAAGGTGCAGGAGTTTTAGGCTCCCTGGAGGTAATGACACACTTTCCAAGAGCTAATCCTGGGTCACACTGAGTTATCGACCCCTGTATCAGCATTCCCTACACTAAGGTGTAAAATGAAATTAGCAAAGCCTCTCTGCAGTTCAAGTAAGGACACTAACTTTCCCTCGATTTCTTCTCTTTTCTCCTGCTTCCTCTGGCCTTGGTAGAAAGCCAAATTTAACTGGGACCCGGAAACCGTGGGGATGATCCATGGGTCCTTCTTCTGGGGTTACATCATCACTCAGATCCCCGGAGGCTACATCGCGTCCCGCCTGGCCGCCAACAGGTAACTGCCGAGGCCTGGGGGCCAGCCTGGGGTGTCTCGGGAAGGGGGAGGTAGGGTGAGTGCGTGTAAACCCGCGACCTTGGAGAAGCGAGGGACAACTAGAGGGAGCAGGTCAGCAGGGGTAAAGGAGGCCAGTGAACTATCCTCGACGGAGTTTGTCCTAGCATTCTAGCTGCGCCCTACGAGCTCTGGGTCTAGCTCTGGCCTCAGACCTGAGAACCAAGTTGTGGGGTAGAAAGACTGCTCGATGAAGAAGCTCCGGCCTAGTCAAGGCTGGCTGGGGGGAGGGGGAAGGGGTGAGCCCCGGCGGCTTTGGGTTCCATCCCATTGGGTGAAAAGGGCCTTGTTGCGAGCTATAATTAACAAAGATTTCCCTAAACCCACCGCAGCTAGAAGCACCGAGCAGCTGACTGAGGCCAGGTTGAACCTGGGCCCATGCGTGGATGTGGTGGAGTATTATTATTGTTGTTGTTGTTGCTGCTGTTGTTAAAATCCTAGGTAGTCTTCTTCTTCCTCTCCCGCTTCCCCTTTCTTGCTACTGGTGAAAATCCAGAGCTGAGCATCCGCTCCTTAGCAGCCAGGTTTGGGCTGCGGGGGTAGTTCAGGTCCTTTGGTCAGACGGCCAGCCGAGCTCTCCTACGCCCGGCAGGCCCACCGCGCGTAGCCCGCAAAGCAGATGGTGCTCTGGGTCTTAAGGCTTTGTTTCTATGGTGTCTGGAGAGCTTTCAAGCACCCGGGGTGTGATTCCACCTGTTAATTAGCTCCGCCGAGAACTGCGCGAAGACAGAAGGCATTCAGCTGGGTCCCCAGGGCCGAGCGGGCCAGTCGAGGTCCTAGCGCCTGCTCATGGTCAGTCGACCTCCTTCCCACCTAAACCGCCTAGTCTCGGGCTGTCCCTGAATCTGGGAACCCAGGCACTGAGAAAAGCCGCAAGGCCCGGGAACAGCTGGTGGGGCCACGGACTGTTGGAGTCTTGGGTTTGTTTTAGGGGAGGGAAGGCGTTCGGATTTTAACTGGCCCTAAATTCATTCATTAAGACAGCATTGTTGGAATGAAGGACCCGTTTTTGGTTCCTCCGGTTTTAAAGCATTAAGGTTGCTGCTTGCTTTGGAATCTGCATTCTAATGCCTCTTCCAAGGTTAGCTTCCTCTCGTCCTCTGAAAAGAATTGCGCTTTAAAGATGAACGAAAATAACAACAACGATTACTCATTTATGTTGCGATTTGAAGCTTGCAACCCTTTCCTCCCAAATTACCCTTTGCCTCTATTCAGTATAGGACACAATTCACCTCTTTGCAATCCCCGAACCCCTACCCCTCGGTGTTTCTCACTCCCAGTTCGATTCACTTAAGATTCTAACACAGTGATCAAGTCCTCCAGCTTCTGACAGCTCAGCTATCTCCTGGGCCCTGGGCGGGACTCCTGGAAATTTACTTGCGGCTTAGCAGGCAGAGGGCACTGATTTCAGGGGAGCCCTTCAGAACAGCAAGAGGATGAAATAGATGAATAGATTCATGAAGCTGACTTTGAATAATATCCATACCTAGATTTTAACCTCCCCCCCCAACAAACTCACAAAGATGAGAGACAGAGAAACCGAGACAGACCAGCAACCCCACGTACATGTAGTTCATGTATGAAAGTAGCCTTAGGCAGAAATCATTAAGAGGAAAACTCATTTCAATGTACTTAATTATAAATTACAGAGCTTTTTAGCTTTCAGTCCAGCTTATAGCATCAAGGCTATTTTTTTTCCCTGAAAAGAAAAACCTTGATTTTTTTTTTCCATTTCTTAAAAAAAAGTACTTAAAATATGCATTTAAGTGCATTTTCCATTCTTGGAACTACTTCTAGGTGCATGAGCAACGTGCACAGACAACTAAGGAGGAGATCTAACGTCAAAATACAATAACTGGACTTTTTAAGACTCCATCCAAAGTCAGAACCTTAAGCTTGCCAAATGTTAAAAGGCTAAGGTTTTCCTGCCAGGCAGAAACACCTAGGATTTGCCAAGCTCCCTCTCTTTTAAAGACAGCAGGCCAAATGGAGAGAAATCTCATGTAAAATGCAACCTTGTGGCTTTCATTACATATCACAACCAAAATGATAGCAACTGACTTTAGAGTGCTTCAGGGTTTGGAAAGCGCTTTAATACATTATCTTTTTTAATCATCAAAACTACCCCATGAAGGAAGATGCTGAAATTATTCCCAGTTTTACAGATGAAGAACCTATGGTCCAGACAATAAGGAACTTGTCCAAGGTCACCCATAACTAAAAAGCATCTGAGGTGTGAAGGAATCCAAGTCTTCCTAAGTTCCAAGTCCAGCACTCTATTCGCTGTGCCACATGGTTTCTAGTAATGCAGTATACTTAACATTGATCCAGTCTCTAAAATCTTTGGCATAATTTCCTTAAAAAGGGGAGGGTGACATAAAGTTTTAATTTACATCAATATTTACCTGATGCTTTTTAACCTCACATGAACTACCTTTGGTTGTTCAGAAAGCTTGGTAATATGTAAGCAATTATTTAAAAGCACGCATTATAAGAGAAATCCCTTACATAAGAAATAGAGGGAAAGAATTACATTCCTTATCTGGAAAGCTATTCTGAAGTTGTGAGATTCAATTCAACTAGTTTTCTATCAACACACATTGTATACTCATTCAAAATTGCTTCTTCCTGGAAACTATTTAAAAATAGCATAAGATTTCCCTTGGCTAGGATACCAGGGACATGTTCCGTCCCCTAGGTACAAAATAGTCTCCCTTTGGAGGGTGTTGGCCATTGTCTCTTCATGCATACAGTCCTAAAGTGGAGGAACTGAGGCGTTTGGAGAGACAGCATTGAGGGAAAGGTGCTCAGTGACTATGCCTTCTTAAAGAAACGTTCTAAATGGGAAACAAACAAACAAACAAACAATAGATCTTTCTTTCTATTGTCTGGGTCCAAAACAGTCCCATACCTGGTTACCATTAGGGTTACTGGTTCATTGGCTAGGTAGGGCAGAATGCACACCTGGTTTCTTATTTATGAGGAGGAAAGGCTGAGAGAGCTGGGGAAAGAGTGAGCTCAGTCCCCAGAGAAAGGGGAATTCTTGCATCACTTTCTTCTGTTATTCTTAAAGTGATATTACATACTTCTAGCTGCAGAATTGGTCATCATGATGGGGAGGCATTTTATTCTGTAGGGGGGGAAAATAGTCATTTTGATAAAGGATGTTGGAGGATTATTGTTTTAAAAAAAGTGGGGAAGAGGGGAGCCTGGCATATTTGGTATTGCTAAAAAAGAAAAATGTATTTTGATACATTTGTACAATCGAGGCTAATCTGAGTTGTTTGTTTTTTAACCAATGAAGAGATGCAACATTTTTTTTCCCATTGAGGCATTTTAAAGTACAAAATTTCCTATGCAGACATTTTGAAGAATTGTAAAGACCTCTGTATATCAGAACTGGAGTCATATTAGATCTAGAGGGGAGTTTAGATGTTAGCCTGCCCCAAACCCACATTTTACAGTATTGATTCAATGCAGCAAATATTTATTAATCGCTTACAATGTGACAGGCACCAGCACTGGAAATGCAAAGACAAGAACACAACATTCCCTGGCTTCCAGAGGCTTACATTCATTTTCCTTTTCTGTCATGTTGGCCAATCTGATATGTGTGAGGTGATACCTCAGAGATGTTTTTGCATTTCTCTAATCAATTGTGATTTAGAGCATTTTTTCATGAGACTATGGACAGAAAAGTCATCTAACAAATGAGGAAAGGCCTAGAAAGAAATGATTTGTTTAAAGTCACACAGTTAGCACTGAAATTGATACTAGAATCTGGGTCTTCTGACTCATATTCTAGTGCCTTCCTCACTGCAAATGCTGTCTTGCTAATTATAGCAGTCACTGCATGGGCCCAAGTACAAGCAAAGAAACTTGTTCTAGTGAGGTAATCATATTTTGCAGTTTTCAAAAGAGTAAGCAACAAATACAGGAAAAGTGCCTGTCCAGGATGGAGTTCTGTGAAGCAACTGATCCCAATATAATTTTAGTGTATTCTATTACACAGCTTTTACCAGCTTTGCAAAGACAACTTTATAGTTCATTAACTACAACAGACCAGAACAAAGTACAATGTAAAACTAAAACTAAAAATAAAAAACAAACAAATCCAAATACTTGTGGGACTGTAAGATAAGCCCTAATATCCCTATCTCAATCTATCCATTCATCTATCTATCTATCTATCTATCTATCTATCTATCTATCTATCTATCTATCTATCCTGTCATCTCTATCTCTATACATCTATCTAGTAGGCACCTAAACAGGAATGATCTTCCTCAATTACCTAATGTGTAAAATGGCTATGACAAGAGCACTTCTCTTTGTGGGTAGTAATGAGGATAAAATGAAATAATATTTTTAAGCGCTTTGCAAAGCTTAAAGCGTTCTGTATAAATGTTAGCTATTATTATTCATTCTGCCAACTCTTTGTTTTAAATTTGATTTCAACATTTACAAACATAAATGGGCAATTTCCATTGTGAAAAAAAAATTGCCTTTTCAAGTGTCAGGTTTCTACCTTATCAAATTATCTTTTTGGCCACATTATTCCCTGTTGGAGGTAATGTCCATTGAAAATGCTCTATATCTCATTTGAAGGCTTTTAAAGAGCAGCCTTGAAATGGCTTCATTTCAGCACCACTCACTCAAGCAGTTAAAGTTCACAGATAGTTAACAGTCCTGTGTTGTTCCTTTGAAATACATGTATGTCATCTTTAAACTCTAGGCATGCAGACAGAAAATATTAACCCAGCTGAGAAAATTCATTCAAGATTAGAGTTGAATTTCCTTGTTAAAGTCTAACTTTTTGCTTTTGCTTTTGCTGTTACTTAAACAAGATTTGGTCTCACAGAGGGAGCAGTGTGGTGTAGTGGACAGAGAAATGTCCTTGGAAGCAAGGAGACCTGGGTTCAAATCTAGCCTTCAATATTTAC